GTACCTCTTATGAAGTTTTGAATACGATCACGTGTCACTGTTAAAACGAACGTTGTATAGAAATATACCTATTAATGCAAAGTAGTTGTTTCAAAGCTTCAGATTTCTAGCATGTTAAGTGAGTACCTTTTATGAAGTTTTGAAATACGATCACGTGTCACTGTTAAAAACGAAACGTTGTATAGAAATATACCTATTAATGCAAAGTAGTTGTTTCAAAGCTTCACGTTTCTAGCATGTTAAGTGAGTACCTTTTATGAAGTTTTGAAATACGATCACGTGTCACTGTTAAAGACGAAACGTTGTATAGAAATATACCTATTAATGCAAAGTAGTTGTTTCAAAGCTTCCACGTTTCTCGCATGTTAAGTGAGTACCTCTTATGAAGTTTTGAAATACGATCACGTGTCACTGTTAAAGACGAAACGTTGTATAGAAATATACCTATTAGTGCAAAGTAGTTGTTTCAAAGCTTCACGTTTCTCGCATGTTAAGTGAGTACCTCTTAAAAAGCAAATAAATTACTTTTCTGTAAGAAAGGTCAACAACTAATATATATGAATCTGTAAATACTAAGCTGAAAGTTGTAGCCATTTCTATGACACATTTACATCATGTTTTGTTCTGCAGCCGTATGAAGAAGTCATGTTTTAATTGCGTACTATTAATGTTTTAAAGTGAATAACGGCTAAATTATTATTATCATGTAATTCAAAACATTTTACTGCCGTCGTCCTTTACAGTAATGTAGAGAAAGTAACAATCATACATAAATTTAAAACTCTTTAATCAACTAAAGCTTTCTATATACTAGTACAAAGTATTGGTTTTGAATTTCTGATTTACTTTGAACGTCTTTACTCTGTAAAGCATACTCCGTTTCCTGGTTTAGGAGATTTTAAGTTTTCTCAACTTTGGTTATACACTTTTTCCCCTCCAATTCGTGTTCTTTCATTTCGACACCAGTAACTTATTATTTTTTAAATGTTAATATTAGTTATCAATTGACCAGCCCCCCAGTGGCACAGTAGTATGTCTGCGGACTTACAACATTAAAAACCGGGTTTCGATACCCGTGGTGGGCAGAGCACAGATAGCCCATTGTGTAGCTTTGTGCATAACAACAAACTAACTAATTGACCATAACGATCGACTAAAGTCACAATTTCATAAAAGTTTTGAACTTATTTTATTTTTGAATGATTTAATTATTTTAGTAATTTTTTTTTACAGTTATACAACAATGAGCCAACAACCAGACAGGTTTTATCCTTTAGCTGTTGCAGCCACAGCCCTGACAGTATACAGTACTTCTCTTGGTGGCAACCTCGTATTTGACGACATAGCTGCCATTCAGGAGAACCGCGACGTGCGCCCATCTAGTCCATTCATCAACCTTTTTCTTGACGATTTTTGGGGAACGCCGCTACACAAGGTTGGTGGTTAAATCATTCTCTCGTTTCCTTATGAATACTTCTAGTAACTAAATATTTTACTTCAAACTGAGTTTTACCTTTAAATTCACAACCCAAATTTCTTGTCATTCTCAATAACTCGCATATTGAATAAGCACAATTCCATGTCCGAAAACACTGTGAAAATAGATAAAAACGTTTAGAAATGATACAGTCGTTTCTATAAGCATCAAGTCTACAGCCATGATTTTTTTTGTTATTGTTCTATCGCGTCAGAATTTGTACTGTGCTAATAAATGTAGTCATCAAAACTTTCCTGTAAGAAAAGTTTATTAATTTTTCTCATTGAACTACGAAATTATTTCGGAATATAAAAATGGTATGTTGTATTATTATATTTATTTGAATAATAGTAAAAGCGATTTTCATTTCTTTATTATTTGCCCAAAAAAGTGTTTAGAACGTAAAGTTAGATCTTCCAAATCAGCAGAATGTAGTTTATGCAAATAGAATTAAAAGTACAACTTTTTTAATGCATTTCTCTATATGGGTCTGGGTTGGTTTGTGATATAATTCTGGGTTTCAGAGCTAACGAGCCGGATTTGAATTTGTGCGATACCACAAATCATTCTTCACACTTTAAGCTGTGAGTGGATTATAATAGTGACAGTCTGTTGCTTATCGTAGATGGTTGGTGGTAGGATAATATTGACTGACAGTTCAAAATTTGCCATAAATACAAATTCCTCTGTATAGAGTTTTCTTATGCTTCTATAAATTGTACACGATTAAATTCGTAGTTTTTATACGTTCAAAGGATATTTTATTTTGCATAATAAAGCCTTGTATGACACGTTTGTTTGAGAATTTTGTATTTATAATTATAACAATTTTTATTCTGTTACAAAGGAACAAAGCCACAAGTCATACCGTCCATTCACTGTCTTCACATTCAGACTCAATTATGCCGTCCACGGTCTACAACCTTTAGGTTATCACGCGATCAACGTTCTGCTTCATGCCTTAGTATGCGTCTTGTATTACAGGTAATTACCATTATGAATGTGTGTATATTTATTGTTGTCTGTAAACTTTGAATTTATCATATCTTTGCAATAAACGAATCTACCTGGATTTACAAAACTTTGAAATAAATTCATATCCTTTAATTAATTTTCTTTCGTGAAAGATTCGTATAGTTTACAGAAATAATGATCTATTATGACCTGATTTTTTTCTTCGGGAGAACAACGCATTAAATACTCGCATTTTGATTCCTTGTTTCCGCCTTGTCTTCCATTAAAGATCATTGTTAGCTGTAACTACTATTTTAAACAATTCAAATCATATATCATCCACATCAGAAGTTATATTTCCGGATTAAAACAAATAAAACATAATAATAAATAGGTTTAGGCTAAACATTACTACTCACTACTACTTGGTGTTTTAATATATTTCTATCTTATCGTATGTTCTTACTCCTTTTTAAAACGTTTTCAACATAAATTGTTAATAACTTTAGATCAAAATTTGTTTCTTTCAAGCGTCTCTTTTGGAATTCTTGTATAAATTATCTAGCTTATAAAGGATAATATGAATGACATATACATCTTTTATATGTATAAGCAGTAATAAAATGATCAAACAGAGTTCACTGTAGTTTACATTCTCTTTACAGGTTGTGCCTCCTCTTCTTGCCTCGTTTTGTCAGCTCTGTCGCCGCCATTTTGTTTTCCGTCCATCCGATTCACACAGAAGCAGTAAGAAATTAGTCTATTTTGAAATCTAATATATTTTACAGTTTTTGTGGCGATAGATTTTAAGTTTAAATGCGCATTTCGAGAAAATGTAATTTAATTCACGTTTTTGTTTATCAATAAAAATAAAAATTAATTAAAAATTAACGTTGACGAGAATTCTGAGCTATTAACAGAAATAATAGTGAAGAAAAAATTATAAAGTCTAGAAAACCTAAAAAACCAATATCTAGAGAGATAATAGATAGTTTATTTTGATTGGTTTGTAAATAACCGTCGGCATCTTACTGGTTATATGCCCCCAGTGGCACAGCGGCATGTCTGCGGACTTACAACGCTAGAATCCGCGTTTCGATACCCATGGTGAGCAGAGCACAGATAGCCCATTGTATAGCTTTGTGCTTAATTACAAACAATACTGGTTATATAATCTTCGTCGTAGGCCAAGCATTCCTTTCATCTGCATGGTTATCTGAAGTTAACGTCTTAAACAGTTTATGGTACTCAACTAATTTAAATATGTTTCTATATAGCCGTTTGAAATTTGTAATTTTTTTTTATTCATAATACCCACGATTACAGAAACGTCAAAGGGAGAACAGATCTTACACGCATAATACAATCAAACATTCACCTCTTCAAGCTTTCTTTTATTGTGCGTGCCATACGCCATTACTTCGGTTTTATACAAAAAAGGTTATTCTTTTAACCAAATTAGTTAATAAATAAGTTACATCACAATTAATAACACCTCCTATTGAACGGTTGGGGAAATTACTTGAAAAGTAAATAATTATAAAATGGAGAAATAGAGAAACATAGTGTCTTTGTTTAAGATAGCAACAAAAATGCCGCTACCAAAATTAGACAGAAACCTTGATTTGGTTTCAACATTAATACATATATATATGTACAATATTATGAAACTTGGAATATCGAAAAATACTTGATAATATTTGGTAATGTAAACAGTGCGGTTCCAACTGTTTACGTTACAGTAAGAAGTATTTCGACTCGGCTTTTCCAAGTTCTTCTATTTGGTCCCATATCAAATAATACACCTTCACGTTTGCCCATTTCATCTTCTGGATCCACTGTGTAAAAAAAGCTGGTTTTCTAATGTGTATACCTTTGTCAAATCATGTAGAATACGCATATATAATCAACCAATAAAAGTGTTTTGTGACTTGCGACATCTAATAGTATGATTCATTAAAATTAAAATTCATTAGTTATTGGAAGAAATAGATAGAAACTTTAATTTTCATGCATTATGTGACTAAACATTTCTTTTTTAACCGAAAGATGTTTCTGTACGTTTTTCATTCAATATTTGCTCTATTTTAAAAGTTCTCACATGCTGATGAGTTGCTAATAAACTATATTTGCTAATCGCCAGACAAATTTAATAGCTCAAGGGGGAAAGGTGGGGAACTCCCAGAAGGGGAAAAGCTTGATCAATCACTTCGACGTTACTTAAGAAGTGTTATCATTCCCGGAGAAGACTATTTTAATTAGTGCTAACGGCGCCTTTAGGACATTATTTTCAAGATGTTGTTAAGAGAGAAGAGTAGGGTTTCTGGTATGAATTTGATATCTGCAGCTTGATCAATCACTTCGACGTTACTTAAGAAGTGTTATCATTCCCGGAGAAGACTATTTTAATTAGTGCTAACGGCGCCTT